AGCCGCTGCCGCCGCCGCCGCCGCCGCCGCCGCCTGCGAAGCCTGAAGAGAGCCGCTTCCCGGACAGCAGCTTCTCCACGGCCGGGAGGTGGCCGGTGCGGGCCGCCTCCAGCAGCTCCTGCTCCTTCCCCATCCCCGGGGCCGCCGTCCCCTAGACCACCGCCCCGGGGCCGCAGCTAAGCCCGAGCTGGCTCCCAAACTTTCTGTCTCCGGGCAACGCACCCCCCAAACCGGCCGGGGACACTACCACCCCCGCCTTTTCCCCACGTGCGCGTCACTTCCGGGATCTGGCGTCACGCGTCACCGCTCCCCCGAGCCCCGCCCCCTTGCGCACCTAGCTGGGCGGGGCTCGGAGGGCGGGCGCAGGTGGCTGGCTCCCGCGCGAAGTGGACCACGCTGTGCTGATAGGGCTCGAGGGGCAAGGTGACATCGCCGTGGGCCATTCGCTGTCCAGGTGGAAGGGGACAAACGGGGTTCACCTGTACACGCCTCCCAAAGTGCACTCCTTTACCAAGGTTTTGGGAGCCCATGGGACAGGAAATACGGTAATTCATCCAGGCAGCGTAGAAACAAAGAGAGGAATATGGTAACGCGCACCTACATTTCCAAGTTCATTCTTTCAGCACTCACAAGTTAAATATCTAATGGACGCGGGAACCTAGTGATAGGTGAATACAACGTGCCCTTTTACCGTACTTTCTTAAGGAGCTCCAAGGAGGGAAGAGAGGAAAGTTTTAAAACATCTATCCTCACCTCTTCGTCCTCCCAATCCCTGAAATGGCTCATTAGAGTGAAACATTCAAAGGAGAGAATTTGACCCCGAAAGGATTTGTTTTCTCTCTCTTTTTTTTTTTTTTTTAAATGGGATTAGCCAAACTGACATAAAAAGTCAAATTTGTGAAACCGGCCCCGATCTTTCCAACTACTGGTGAGTTGTAAAAATCATTTGAGTAGGAACTGTTTTGTTCATTGGTACCTAGCATTGTTCCTGAATCGAAGTAGGCGCTCAAGAGTTGTGGAGTGAATAAATGGATTGAATACTTTCTGCTCAATCTAGTATTACTTTTTTTTTTTTAATGCATGCGGAATAGAAAAGAAATGTTAGCAATTCATTGTAAACACAGGCCTGCAGTCTCTGTTTAATTGGAACGTACGCGGTTAAGTCTCTGCCTGAAGTTTGCTAGTCCAAGGCAGCCGTATCCCACGGCACGAGCATACAACGGAATTGAGCTTCCTTCCATGTCCCCCCAACTTCTTTACTCTGAGGGAGTCAGGTTAAGGAGGGGGTTAACTGACATTGCATTTTTAAAAAGGCAGAAAGGAAAAAGAAGCCCTTCAGTAAACAAAAGTCGGCGCCTTCACAAATGCTGGTTGCCTCGGGGCGAAGGATCACAGACTGAACTCCGTACCGCCGATTTTCCGTCACCCCACCGATACATTGCAGTTAAAACAAATCACCAAAAAATTCTCTATACGAGCCTCTAATTGACCCCTCCGACGAGTGGTAGCGGTGATGTCATCGCTGCGCGACGACAGAAAGTAAGTTCTTGGGCTGTAGTGCCGCGCGGGGTTCAGAGCTGTTTTGTCTGACAGCACGGCGATCTCCTCTTGCCTTCGCTTCTCGCGGCGATGGACAATGCCTGCGAGTCGCCTACGGACAAAGGTGGAGAGACAGGGGAGTCAAATGAGACGCCCGCCGCTCCCTTGGGTTCCGGTACCACCAGCACGGACGGAATACCGGAGGAAACTGACGGGGACGGAGATGGGGACTTGAAAGAAACCCCGGTGGAAGAAGGCGAGGTAGGGAGATGTGTTGCAGAGGCTGGAGGAATACCCCGAAACTGAGTTACTGGCTGCTCGCCAGGTTTCTTGGTTGGTCCCTGCCAAGCTACGAGAGCTCGAACTCACGACTCCCTCTAGATTGTCAATCATGAGGGGGGAAAAAAAACCCTAGCGCTGGTTACATTCTAGACGCCCACGCACTGGGTTAATATTTTTAATCCTCGCTCTTAGAGATTAAACTACTTCTAAGGGAATTTTATTATCATAGCGACCCTACAGGACAGAGTAGAACTGCCCCATACGGTTTCCAAGGAGGACCTGGTGGATTTCAACTGCCGACCTTTTGGTCAGCAGTCGTAGCTGTTAACCACTACGCCATCAGGGTTTCCAAACTGAAGCTATGAGTCAGAATCGCCTCGACGGCAATGGGTTTGGTTTTTTGGTTTAAGGAAATTCGAAACAGTCTCTGGTGAGGAAATTGGGACCTGATGCCACACTGAGATTTAGTGCAAGAGCCAGCAATAGAACCCAGGATTACCGACTATTGACCTAATATCTTTTTCACCGCAACAAGTCCTCTTGTTATTGTTAGCTGCCGTAGAATCTGCCAGAATCATGGGGACCCCTTGCACAACAGATTGAAATACTGCCCGGTTCTGTACCATCCCCGTGATAGCTTGTATTGGACCATTGGGTTGTATAGGGTTTTCATTGGCTGATTTTGGAAAGTAGATGCCAGGCCTTAAATCCATCTTAATCTGGAAGCTCCACTGATGGAGTGGCAGTGCATGAGGTCCATTGGCCAGGAATCCAGCCTGGGTCTCCCGTATGAAAGAGTTCTACCACTGAACCACCAGTGCGCCCATGGGTACTCTTAGATGTTGGTTAAGCATAACTTCTGACTTAACAGATGGCAGAGTTGATCAGATCCATTAAAGAGAGACATTCTTACTCTCTTGGGACATTTAACTGCTACCAGGTACAGCCACTTGTGTGCTAATGTCAAGGAGTCTATAGAGCATAAAAACATCAGACCCATCAGTTGTGCCACCCGTAGAGCTCAGAATGTTGCCTAGCTGAAGATCTGCCAAGGGACCAGAATCTCAGCCTTCTCTGTGTTTCGTTTCTAGAGATAGAATCTTGGGGTCTTAGAGCTAGAAGGGACTTAAGAGATCATGGAATCCACACTAGATTAGATGGAAAATAACCTTTCAGAGCATAAAGTTGCCTCAAAATATACAAAGTAAGAACTTTTAGAAAAAAAGAAAGATGTGACAAAAACTATTTGAGGAAAGAGCCTTTAAAACACGTCTCAAGGACAGAAAGGATTTAAATAATAATTAG